ACAACATTTCACCTAACGTTTAATGACCCACAGCGTACATAGAAGTAATCAAAGCAAAGTAACACAAGACAATGAATCCAGTCTGCTGGACTGTAAGGCATGAGTCCAACATGTCACACTTCAACACACGGCTCAAGAACCTGACACACATAAGTGAATATATGATGAGAGAATATGTACTGATGTTTTTGTAGTTGCCACCACCACTGCAACAAAATAGGAGAAATAAATCTGAATCACATCAAATAAACATATATCTATTTTGTCTTCCTACACTGAAACTATCAAGGCCTTAAAAGTACAAAATGACTTGTTAATTGAATTTGTACATGTCCTAAATTGTGTTCGGAGGTTAATTGATCATGAGAACTGGTTATTCGCAGCATTGAAGAGAATAATGTCCACTTTGCCAAACAGAAGTCAAACTTCTAACTGTTGTTGCCTGTGATGCCCAACAGAGGGCGCTGTTTGCCTCAGCTGGTATCTGTGCAACCCAAGTTCTCTGTTTCTGGCTGCCAACTGGAGAGCTTTGTCTTTACAGAACTGGGAAAGAAAAAACAACAGCAAACTTTATATAAATTGGGTGTTATACTTTTCAAATCTCTCAACTCTGTGGGGAGAAACCTGAACAAGCCCTCATAATTCATGCAAACCGTGTCAGCCATTCCTGCACGTTCACTGTGTTTTGATTAGCATGCATAGCACAGGGATTTATGTGATGTAATCAAAGTCACACCGAGTTATTACAGTTTAGACGCACAGAAGTTCTGCACTAAATTCACTCGAAAGTAACACCTCGCCTGTTTCAAATCTACCACATTTTCCTTCCAACCCAACTGGCAGTCAGAGGAAAAAAAAAACACCACATTAGGATTTGTTTGCTAATGCCGTTTGATGCAATTCTGGACACAACAACCATGACGCCCTCAGATATCTGGACTTCCACCAACCAAACCTGCTCCATCTGTCTGCCAAAATGCCGCCTACCCACAGCCAAAGCTCCATCTTGGCAGCGCTAATATATTTCGGTTGCAACTTTCAAGTCACAGAAATTTCATAAAAACTCAGATTGGACCATTTACCAGAGAGATTTTCCCTCATCATTTGATTACTTTTTTGTTTTGTTTTTTTAATTTAGAGAAATCACACACCTTTGCTTTGACACAAGCTTCCGCTTAAAACTAATTTACTCTCAAACCTCATTACTGCTTCACTGAAATTAACTTCCAATGAAACATCGTGGACAGATTCCTGGTATCTGAAATACTGTGTGACCACAGTGGACAAATGCAACTGTGAGAGAGACGATATACTGGACGTGTGCCTCAGATCAGCATTTAATATTACAATCAGAAAGTTCTCTCATGAAAACTCTTTTATTGACACTTTCTCTCTCTTCGTGCAGCAGATGATATATTTTTGTTAGAGGACAGAAAAGGTGAGTATTTGTAAAAGTTTGTCGAGAGAAAGAAATGACAAAGAAAGGAGGAATTTAAGTCAGTCCGAGTTTAACTCTCCCTGCACTTGAGATTTTGTGGATAAAAAGGTTTGTTAAGTGCCTCCTTTTCTTTGGTTTCCACTTCAGAGAACAGTCTGTTTACTCAGTCTTTACCTGAGTGGAAAATCTCAAGTGCCTCTGTCAAAATACCCTCAAAGAAAGAAAATTCCTGCAGCACAAACTGGTCCATAAGTTGTAATTCATAGGTGGGCGGCCGTAGTCGTACACCTGCTTTAGTAGAGCTGCTTAGTGGAGGATAAGGCTTGTATGTAAACAGCTCATGATGAACCATTAAAATCAAGTTAAATCCTTATATGGGCACCACATTGCTGTCATAGCCTAAATACAGGGAACCTGACCCGCCAGATAGTTTGTTACACAGAACCATCAAAGCCATCATTGGAGACTATTTGGAACAATGCCGCTTCCATTGAACTTTCTGTGCTATTTGAATCCCATCTCTTTGCAGCAGCTTAACAAAAGGCTTAACAAATAATTGATATTCATATTTACAGAGCGACTTTTTTATAATTTTGTTGGGTGTTCTTCACTGTCATTGTTAAAAAGTATAGTGACACAAACTTGTGGGACATTGCTGTGTTTGATCTCTAACAGCTGTCCACATATAACTCCAGCTATCAGATAGATGTATGTAAACAGCTGTAGTTAGCTAGCTACATATTAAACGTTACCACTGGACGTTAGGCTAACGTTAACGCTTGTATTTTGAGGTAGCCCATATTAATTGTGTTATTTTGGCGAAAGCTAAAGTAATCTTTCCAGTTTACATCATCAGCCAAGTGTCAGATGTGTTGACCATATTTTACTCTTCTATCTATTTGGGTCATACGTGAGCAAGCTAACATCTGCGTTGTCAGTTCAGCTAGCTTGTTCAGCTAGCTACATTAAAACAGTTGGAAGTTGGTAAGTATAAATATTTAACCAACAACTGGCCTAATCTCTAAATTACTAGTTTGTGTGGTGCAATTTATTAGTTTAGTGATAAGCGAGTAAACATTTACGTTACAATTGGGCTAAATTTGATTTTAGCATAAACTTCTGATCACATCTCCAATTACAGTCAAATCTTTTATAAAAAGCTTTTTATTCATGATAAAGTTTTAGTTTTCCAGTTCCCATGTCTTTATCTTTGTATCAGTATTTCACTTTTGTTAAAATCTTATTTCACTGTGGTGTATGTTATGCACAATTCAATACAGCTTAATGAATGTATTTAGTGCCTCACAACACTGCTGTAGTGCCCTTAGGCAAGGTGGTAGACCTCAAACTGCCCCTGCCCTGCTGCTTTGCTTCCAAACCTGCACTCCGGTCGGCCTGTGGTTCAACGCACATGCACATCTACAGCAGGAAGGATACAAATGTCAGTAATGTGAGTGTAAAGTAACCATTTAAGTAGTTCTAACCTCAATGAATGACCCCTTTAACTTGTCAGTCAATAAACAGATATGACGCTCAGTGAAGGCCGCCCACTTTCCTCAAGCAGCAGCAAATTCTTCCCTTCACTTATTGATTTTCTCACATGTTAGCTGTGCACCAGTTCAGCACTGCATCACTAACATCACTCGTACGAGGCCTTTCACAGCAGCATGTCAAGTAAGTTCAGGCGCAGACTTAAGGAGGCTATTCAACCGGGAACAAATTCTTTCTTCACAATGACAGCTGGAAGGAGGCAAACGGGACACAAAACAAGGGCGGTAAAAGACTACTATAGCATGCAAAATATAGAAGAAACCAGAACTAACAGCTTTATAAATGACACAAGCAACCACAAGGACACTACGAGCAATTCAAACATGCGGCAAACATAACGCAGAGAGAAACAATCCCATCTGTTCTTTTACATGAATATAAAGTCGACTTTACTCGACACCCAAAGGGGATTTAAAAAACCTACACGATATCTGATATATCTGCTGTCATGGTGTTTGCTGTCATCTTCTAATATAGTTGAAACCACAGTGCAAACAAAACACTGACAGGATGTGCCCAAAATATCAGCCCAGTATATGTCAGGGGGACTTAATGTCACAACATGAGGTGCTTTGGATTGTAAAATCCTGTCTGCAGTGCTGAGGAAGAAAATGGTACCAATGTGTGTCATATCAGGCCTCACAGATTCCCCTTAACCCCATCCCAAGGCCATGTGACACAGTTAAAAGCTAGTAAGTGGACCTTGAGTTTGCTTTGTCAAGGATGAACTTTTATGCTGAACTCTTAAGCCTGCGTGGAAAAGAAGTCCTAAAAGTGCAGCTACCGAGCATGTCAACAGATACATCAACATCCATTGATAATAATAGATCATGTGGTTGAAAGCTCTGGGAAAAGCTAGTAAGTGGACCGAGTTGCAGTTGTTTTGTCAAATGAAACTGCCATTTGTTAGCCGTTTCCTTATTAAAATCTATAGCCCACATTATAAAACACTACTTTGAAAAAGGCCAACTACCTTGTAAATGATGTGCACTTTAGCACAAAAAATACAAATTAAGACACACGTCAGCTTTCAAACACATGATCCATTATTATATATGAATCAACAACTAGTTTAATCAGTTAATCAATTTAATGCAGTTTTCAAGCACAAATGTCAAATATCCTTGTGTTTCAGCTTATTAAAGGTGAGAATGTCCTGCTTTCTCTGTCAATAATATAGGAAATTTAATGTTTTTGAGGTTTCGACAAAACAAGACACTTGATATCTATCGCCTTGGTTGTAGGGGTACTGTAGTGGGGGTAGCCGTGGCTCAATGGGTTCAGAGGGTTGTCCAGCAACCGGCTGCGGTTCGATCCTTGGCTGCTACATGTCCTGTGCCGAAGTGTCTCTGAGCAAGACACTGAACCCCTAACTGCTCCCCGGGCGCTTCTCAGCTGCCCACTGCTCCCAATAAGCTAGGGATGGTTAAATGCAGAAGTTAAATTTCATGTATATGTATATGACAACTCCAATAAAAGATCTCGTTAAAATGATATCCCAAATTCCCTCTGTAAAAACCTTGAATGTAGTGGGTACAATTCATAGTTTTCTGGTGTTTTATTGATTAACAATGAAATAAATCATTATGCACAGCACTTTGTAAGATGTTTAATACTATTACAATGTTGTGTAAGATTGTAGGGTTTATTTAAGCCTACATGTGTCACTGTATATGGGCTTCAGGCAGTCTCAGCTGTCTTTAATGTATAATTTAAAGGAATATTATTGCAGCTTGTAGTACAGAAGCCTTCATCAGAGTCATCGCAGCCAGGTAGCATGCGAGTTTTACATTCCTTAGAGAGGAGTGGACTTCATTTGGTTGAAATACAACACCCGCCACATTCCAGCGTGCGCCTGTATTGTAGTGTCTGTGCGTGTGTCTGTGCGTGCAGCGTGTGTCTGTGCGTGCTGCGTGTGTCTGTGCGTGCAGCGTGTGTCTGTGCGCGTGTGTTTTGTGTCTCTCGAGTTGAACTTCCTCGTCCTGCAGAAGAAGAAGAGGGAGGCGTGACGTCGCTGCCCGCAGAGAGGCCCGCACGGCAGCGGGAGAGAGGCAGGGACACGGGACGCTGCTGCAGCCGCAGAGCAGAGACTCGAGGAGGAGCAGCTGCGGGCGCACACACAAAAGAAAACAAACCCACAACCACGGCAACTTTGCAGAGACGACAGACAGCCATAATGCGGCACCGCCCGCCGACCCCGGAGCTGATGTGACTGTGCAAACCCAGAGCAAGGGAGGAAGCGGCGGACACCATCACCACCACACGCCGGTGGTCGGACTGTCTGGTCTGGAGGAAGGTGGGGGGGAGGAGAGGACATGTCCTCGCTAACCGTAGAGGGGGACCAGAAATGGTTACCGACACACGTCCAGGTGACGGTGCTGAGAGGCAGGGGCTTACGGGGCAAGGGCAAGCACGGCACCAGCGACGTGTACACCATCATCCAGCTGGCGAAGGAGAAGTACTCGACCTGCGTGGCGGAGAAGACCACCGAGCCGGAGTGGAGGGAGGAGTGCTCGTTCGAGCTGCAGCCCGGCGTGCTGGAGACCGGCGGCGGGCGGAGCAGCTGTCCGGCCGGCAGCAACGAGCTGGTCCTCATCGTGATGCACCGGGCGCTCATGGGGCTGGACGTGTTCCTCGGACAGTCGGTGATCCAGCTGGATAAGGTCTTTCATGAGACTAGATGCGTGAAAAACGAGTAAGTTCAGCTGCCTATACATGTGTATAGTATACATATGTGTGTGTGTCAGCATGAGGGTGACCAAAACCTGCATGCAGCTTGAGCTGCCATTTCCCATGTTCATTGAACTCATCAGGGTGTTTCTAGTATGCTTTTGTGCTGTTTTGCTTCACAGTTTGTTCTCAGATATAAACACAGCTGTCAAGTCTGTGGTGCTGCATCAGGGCCCTGCAGACACACCCTCCCTCCTCCCACGGACACAGAACTCTTCTGAGCACATCTGACCACTGTTCACCTCGCTGAGGCAGAAGGCTTCCCCTCCAAAATAACCCAGTCCTTCTGGACACTTCACGTTCACCTCCTCCAGGCTTGTCGCCATTAGGTGTTTGCTTTTGTTGCGTGTGGGCCCTTAAAGTGTTGTTTCCCAATAGCCGAGGCATGGCGTAGAGCAGGAGGGGGGATTAATGCCTGTCCCAATTCCAGGGATTATCTAACCGATTCATGATCCGAGAGCTGCAAGGTATTTTAAGCAGAACATGTTGTTTCTACAACAGTCCAACTCACCCACTGGAGCACAGGATGCAAAGAGGCCGATGCAAAGTTTCACGTTGCATCATCTTAAACATTTGCCAAATGTTAAAGGAAGTTTTCCGCCCTCATTTAACTGGAATTAATGACCAATATGTGATTTAGTTGGAGTTGTTTAGAGGTGAAGGACAGACATGTTTTGGTGCACCAACTGTCCCTAAAACTTATTGTTGTGTAGTTCTATCTGTGAGGTCTAACATTCCCCATAATCCCTTTCAACACCTTTCAGCTTTCCAAAACATCAGCAGTCTTTTTAAACATCTTTTCTAGATCAAAAACAGGAAGAAATCAATTATCGAAGAGGCAGAAAGTCCAATATCTGCTTCTTCGATAATTGATTTTTTCCTGTTTTTGATCTAGAAAAGATGTTTAAAAAAAAAGACTGCTGATGTTTTGGAAACATTTCCTTTCATGAGATCATAACGAGATGTGATGGCGCTTTGTTTACATTCTCCCAGGCAGAGCAAAATCAAAAGTTTGTCTTTCTAAAGGCAAATTTGTCCCAAGCATCATCGTATTGTGACCTGGCAATAACATGTGCATCACCCGGTGGGTGTATTTGTACAAGTGCCGGAGTATTTTCGCTCCACTGTGAATCAGAATTGGAACACAACCCAGGACATCCCCCGTCCCTCAGCACAGATTGAATGTTTTTTTAATATGTTCCTCTCAGCCTTCTTTAGTTTCTGTGTCCTTTATGGCAGATTGATAAATAATAACTAGCGGCCGAAAAACGCCTGTGCTTTAGCTCGGATAGACCTGTGAATATGAGCTGAAAGAGGAACCAGCCTCCTTCTGTTGGAGCTGGTCACGTGAAGGTTAGAGTCAGCCTGTGATCTTGACGTGTCAGCAGTTTGGTGTCATGGTACATTCAGTGTCTCCATGTGGTATTCAATGAATCTGGGCTGGTCAATAGCAATACATCCCAACAGTCAACACTGCTCACGGAGGTCAACCCTTTAAAACAAAATACAAAAAAACGCTTAAAACATCTTGTGTTTGACGGAGAACATTCACCAAAACATGAGCAGCATTTAAGGAGAAACCACCGTTTTGGTTTTTGTGCTACTTGATGCCAGATGCTACACTATACGTTGTTGTAGACAAAAGCTCCGGCATTCTCACCAGTCAGAATCAACTCTTCAGTTAAACATGTGAATAAATGTATGCAGCAGAACCAAAGACATAAGAAGTGCACGTAGTCATCGTGACGTCATCCATTGGTTTGTGGACTGTTGTTTTGAAGCTTCGAGTTTGGCCGTCGCCATCTTGGTTTATCTTGGCTTTCTGCAACCAGTGAACCTGTCAATCACCGGGGAACCCCCGCCCTAAAGCATCCCCTGCTTTATGGTCTGTGTGACTCTAAATGGACCATAATGTACTAAATGAACATCATGCTGTATTGAAGAAGACTTGAAACTAGAGATTGAGACCATAAACTCATGTTTACAATGTTTACTGAGGTAATAAATCAAGAGAGAAGTAGAGTCATTTTTGTTTCATAGATGAAAATACTTTTGGATCAGAAAATTGTTCACAAGTAGAAATGGATGATTGGCTTTATCTTTTTGCATCTTTAACAATGTCAACGGACTCAGAAAAGCACATGACTGCACAGTTTCCATTTCAGATGGTTTGTGATTTGGGGCTGTTCCCAGTAACAGTCTTTATAGAGCTGTCTGATCTGTGTTCTCTTTGGGCTCATGATTCAGTAAATAATAGGTTCTCTGAGGCTCTTATATTGTTCAAAGCTTTATTTGCACGGTGATAAACCCCAGACGGAGGGGTGGATGGTGGCAGTCAAATCTGACAATATCAGTGCAGTCAATTAGCTGCTAAAGTGAGATAGAGGAAAGAAAAAACGCTTTTAAAACCAACTCGACACAAACAAGACAACAACAAAAGTCACTTTACATACAGATGACCACATGATTTTTCATTTCAAGTTTGTGGTTTTCAGTGACAGTAGTGTGACATTTAGTATTGCAGATGTTGAGGGGGCCGTGCCAAGACTCCTTCACTTTACAGTTTGTAATATTTATAAAGGCCTTCAGAGGAGGGTGGGGGCGTCGCAGTGATGTAGTGCTCTGGGTCGTATATTTCAGCAAATGGAGGAGATACGTCAGGTCTGGCTCTCTTTTTCTGAGCCTCTGACTTGTTTTATTCTCTCTAGGATTCATCAGTTTCCACATAGTGTACTACTGAATCAGCGTGTTCCAGTCACCGTCACTGGAAATGAAGGATGAGGTTTAAATTTAGGTGTGGGGATGTTGGAGATGAGTTTTTCTTCTGCAGGTGAGAGGATGAAGAAAGAGTGGTGATTAATCTAGCGAGGTAGTGCCAGAGGTGAGGACTCGAGCCGTGACTCTGGTAGCCTTTCCAAAACCCCAAAATGTGTAAAGAGGAAGTTAAACCGTGTGTTTATCTGCTCTAATACAAGCTGCAAATGTTAGCATGCATGGCTAGCTAGCTTACTACCTACAGCTGTTGTAACCAAGTGTAACTTTAAAGCACTCTAAATAACCCGCGTTGAATTAGGACAGTTTTAAAACTAGCAATAACAAATAAGCAGCAAAACAACCCCATGAATGCTTTATTCTCCCAACATTTCCTCTCTAGTTAGCGATGTCTTCATTGCATGAAGGCAGAGCAGCTGCCACTGAATGGGTGGCATGGGAGGATGCAGTGACCGTGATGCATTTGCGTGATGAACTATCAGTGTAGAGCAGATTCCCCGAAAGGTGGGCGTTGGGTGAATTCCCCTGCAGGGTCTGTCAGGAGGAAGCTACAGAAGCACTGAAGACACCAGATCAGCACACGGTGGACAACAACAAGCAAGCAACCCACGTTATCAACAAGAAATATGAAATAATTTGCGACACTTGCTGAATATTGAACTTGTCGTGCACGTTTCTTCCTTTGATAATCTAGTTTCTTCCCAAGAGAGTCATTTTTAAGTTTCAGCTCTTTTTTTCTGCAGTCCAGGGATTCTTCTCGGTGTCGGTCGGGTGGTTCTTGAAGCGCCGACATTATGATTTAGATGTTAGATTTGATATTTTACAACCGCTGCTTTTACTGCCATTACTGTCTCAGTTTTACGTCACCTGTCATGTTGTTTATCTGAAGAAGGCAAAGCTCTGATGTTGTTTCAGACAAGAGAGTGTTACTGAGGGAGGGTGTGTGTGTGTGTGTGTGTGTGTGTGTGTGTGTGTGTGTGTGTGTGTGTGTGTGTGTGTGTGTGTGTGTGTGTGTGTGTGTGTGTGATGTACATCCAGCCAAATCCTCTGTTAAGTGCAGACAGACTTTCAGCAGCTACTGCAGAGACAGAATATGGTCTAATGGACATTAGAAGTTACATAACAGTGTGACCGGACAATCCTATACAACACAAATGTACCTCTGCTTGTTGAAAACAAAGAGATTTATTTATTTATAAACTCCAATGTTATATAATCGAAGGATATATAGCGGCCTACATTCAACTCATATTGGTAACTTATATTCCTGAGTCATGTAGAGGCTGTGCAGTCGCATCACAAATCTCCCATCAGCCTTTGTGGCATCATCATGGAGATTCAGTGAAGCACAGATGAGATGAAGACGCATGGAAATGACTCTTCTGGTAGCTAGGTAGTAAGCCAGCATGCTATGCAAAGCAGCTAATTGCTAAGGGATGCTAGCAAATGCAAGTCTGCTTAAAGCCGCATTTTGTCTCACAGTGCTCTACATTCTTGAAGCATCTTAACACAAAGTTCACAGGAATCTGCCTTTTGCAATGCAGACGTTGGCCTTGAGCTTCACATACGATGGCCTTGTATAACAGCAGCACAGTCTAACAGAAGGAAGGTTGCATCATTTGTTGCAGGCTTTGAAAGTGGACAGACAGCAGCAGCCTTGTTATCAGGATGTAGCTGCAGCTTCTGTTTGTGATCTACTTTTGCTCATTGGCTCATTCTTACTGTTGCGTAATACTAAGGATGAGCAGGTATTCATTTATCTCGTGTTGTTTTCTTGTGACCACAATTTATTTCTTTATTTTTGTATATTATTCTTGTGATCATTAGATATTGTTTCTGTAATCGGGGTCATTCTGTTGAGTTGACAAAATGATCATCCTGTGTTTATTATCATTATTTTCTTCTTAAGAATTCCAGCTTGTTTTATGAGATGCAAGGATCTACTACTGTCCTTTACAGTACATCTGAGTACTACGGTATTTTATCCGTAGAAGTGTATTTCTCTCTAGCTGACCTGTCCTCAGTCTGCAAAGGGTTGGCAACCTTTCTTTATTTTTTTAATGCAACCTTTCACAAAAAAATGACTATTTGTATAGTTTTGTATGACTTTGGGCCCAAGGAGGTGTGGTTTGAAGATACAATGCTCGGTTGTGTGAAAGCATTGGGAGGGAAGTTGGCGGTGAGGTTAGAGCT